CACCAACGAGAGAGAGAGAGAGAGAGAGAAAGGGCGCGAGGCCCCCCGTGCGAAAAACCCCGTCGGACTAATCACGCGGCTGCGACGACGTCCCTCGATTCCCCTCCTCCCCCTCCTACTCCCCGCGCGAAACCGAGCGCGCCACCTTTAACGCGCCACCACCATTGTTCTCCCGCCTCCCGTCCCGCGGCCGAAAATTCCATGCCTTGGCCGATCGTCGTCCAGATACGCCGCCGCTCCACCAATTTTTTCCCCCACCTCCATCTACGCTCGCATGGAGGAACGTGGAGGTGGCTCCACCACGGTGCGCGGCACGCGAAACGCATTGTTACGGGTGACGCGCGTAATGGGCCATTACGGGCACGTGGCGGCCGCCCAAGGAATTCGAACGACAGTCTCTCCACAGTCGGGCCGTGAATACGTAAGCGCAGGGGGCGCCTCGGTATTAAACCGTCCCGCGAGGAATCCGCCAACGCAAACGGTCAATAAACAAACGGTCGGATTGGCGGGCGGGCCGAGATGTCGTCAGCGCCAATTCACCGCATCAATTCGAATAATATACCGTCGGGTGGCGTCTCTCGATCGCGATTCTCCTCTCTCTCTTTCTCTCCTCGATTCTCGCCAACAACACCGATTAAATGGCCTGGCGCCTCGTTGACCGGACCTCGCCGTGAATTAACCGATTTTAAACTTAAACTCTCTCTCTCTCTCTCTCTCTTCTCTCTCTAGCTCTTCTATAGTCTCGCTACACTTCTGCACACCAACTCTCGTACTCTCGAGACGTGTAATTTCGAAACCGAGAGATTCGTGTTCTTGAGAAGAGAGAGAGAGGTTAGGGAAGAAAGAATAGACGAGGGAGAAGAATAGACGAGTAATAGTGGTGGTGGTAGGAAGAGAAAAGATGGTCAGTGGGATGATAGCGAGAAGAGAGAGAAAGAGAGAGAGTCGAAGAGAGAGATTCTTTCATGCCCTTCGGAAACGTCATATAGCTGTCGGGTGCCGCGGAGGCAATATTTCACGCCGGTAGGCCCGCCGCCTCTCCTCCTTCGTTCCTACACTTTTGAAGGAGTTTTTACGGAGTCTCTCGATCTTTAATCACAGCTCGACCTTCCATTGTCAGTGACGTCACCTCCGACTCGAAAAGGGTGTTCGGGGGATGCTTTGTGTCGGAGCGGCTCCGCCGATCCCTCTCCGCGTCATTTGTCTCTCCTCGCTGCCTTATTTGTTACGCGCGTGCACAATCCCGAACCACGAATCCTCCTCTCCTCCGTGCGTCCGATCCTCGCCTCTTGTTTTTCGTTGTTGTTATTATTATTATTATTACTATTTATCGTTCTCGTTCAACAGCGATAGTCGAATCGTGATACGAATTCTCTCTCTCTCTCTCTCTCTCTCTCTCTCTCGTACTCGAGACACGTAATTTCGAAATCGAGAGATTGAGAAAAAGATATTATTATTATCCGGTGGTGGGGCGCGTCGCTGATTCGCGAAAATATCGTGGGATTATATGGCGCATGGAAAGCTTTACGGGCGCAATATGGAACCACTTCTTGAGTATCGATCGCGTCTCGATACTTGCTGCAGACTTCTTCTAAACGCTGTTTACAAATGGGCCGTCGTCGTCTGGGCGCGTGGAACGCCGAGACTCGCGATCGACAGTGTCGGAAACGAAGGAAGTCGTCCTTCCGATTTTGGACGTCCGCCAGGCAAGCGGATAGACAAGACGATCGGAACGAGCGGGGCATCGAGTGGCGTTTCGCGGTAGAAACGCGAAGTTACGAGTCACGTGACCGAGTTCGTGCAGCTGTTACAGATAAGAACACCTCTCACCGAAATGAATATTCTCTTTCGAAAAATTACGTTTATCGATACCTCTTCTCTCGTGGGCCTTCAGTATCTTTCTCTCGATATTGCTCTTTAATTTCCGATTCCGACGAGATTCTCTCTCCCTGGTAATTATTATACGAGTTTGATGAACGCGACGGCGCCTCGAACTGTGTTTCCTCCTATGTAACGACCGTGGACACCTTTCCTTCCTCCATGTAACACGATCTATTTATTCGTGGACGGGAAATATCCGCGGTCGTTCGCACAATACGAGCCAAAACTTGGTCTCCCCTTGGTGGCCTGGGACCCTTCGAAGATAGAAAGAGAGAAAGAGAGAGAGGTGGGCTGTTCGTTTCGAAGAAGAGGAAACCGAGGAGGAAAGTGGTGGGGAGGGAGGCACAAAGGGAGAGAGGTGGCGTGTAACGGGGGCGCGAGCGAGCGATTATCATAACAAGGCTCGTATTTGGAGACAAGATGCCTCGCGACCCTATCGGCCGTACGCATCGGGCAGACGCGACACGCATTTAATCGCCGTACGTGCCTCGTTGCTTGCTACTTACACCGCTGTACACACATACCTATAAGCGCACCGTTTAGGATCCGCATTGTCATGTTAACGACTTGATGCCGATCCCATTAGGGCGCCTCGCCGCGTATTCGGGACCGAAGGCCCCTCCTCCCTCCCTTCGCTACTTCGAGCGTCCGTATTCTTCGATTTCCAAGAGCCGTACGTAAGTGCTTTATCTTTTCACGCGTATATACATACGAGAAAGCCGTCGAGAATCGAAATTTTGAATTTTTCTTTCTCCGTGCACGTGGAAGGTTATCGAGAATCGAAATTTTTTAATTTTCACGTGTTCCCAAGAACGATTCACGTTTCTTCCTCTGCGCGACGATCGCCATATGTGAAAGTAGAAATTTTGAATTTTCCACGCCTCGTGAAGGGCGTTCGCTTTACGTTTCTCCCTCTGCACGACGATCACCATATGTGAAAGCCATCGAAAGTCGAAATTTTGAAGTTTTACGTCTCGAGAGAGGTTTCGCCTTACGTTTCTTCCTCCGTGCACGTGGAAGCTATTGAGAATCGAAAAAGAGTATTCGTCTTACGCTTCTTTTTCTGTGTAACGATAATTATAATACGAAGAGACTATCGAGAATCGAAATTTTGAATTTCTACGCCTCGAGAGAGGTTTCGCCTTACGTTTCTTGCTCCGTGCATGTGAAAGCCATTGAGAATCGAAATCCCTATCCTGACAATGATTGTGCAGAAAAGCTGTCGAAAATCGAAATTTTGAATTTCCACGCATCGTGAAGAGCGTTCGTCTCATCTTTCTTCCTCTGTACACCGAGAATCGAAATTTTTGAATTTCTATTCATTCTCAAGCGTCTCTCCGCCTTTCTTTCTCTCCGCGACGATCACCGTCGCTTGGAAGTCATCGAGAGTCGAAACTTTGAATCTCCACGCGTCGCGAAGAATATTTATCTTAACATGTTTCTAACGTGTTCGCTCGCGCAGAGAGAAATTTTGATCTTCCACGCGTATCGTGAAGACCATTCGTCTTTCTCCGCGTATGTGGAAACTCGAAATTTCGAATTTCCACGCATTCTAAATAACGATCGCCTTACGTTTCTTTCTCTGTGCACACGGAAGATCGATACTTTTGAATTTCCATGCTTCGTGATGAGCATTCGCCTTAAATTTTTGTGTGACGACGATCATCACGTGGAAACTATTGAAAATTGAAATTTTCAATTTTTATGCATTATGCAAGAACGAACCTTACGTTTCTTCCTCTGCTTATGTGGAAGTTATCGAGAATCGAATTTTGAATCGTGAAGAGTATTCGGCCTACGTTTCTTCCTCCGTGCATACGAAAAATCGATACTTTTGCACGCGTCGTGAAGAACATTCGTCTTACGTTTCTTTCTCTGCGCACGCGGAAGCTATCGAGGATCGAAATTCTAGAATTTTCACTTTCTCTCCACGTCGTGTGAAGACCATCGAAAATCGAAATTTCGA